TATTTCTACAACACCCGGTTTCCGTGCAGGCAAAACCCGACAAATTCTCGTGTTACAGCCCTGACGCTCGCATCTGTAACATTTACCCTCTCTTTGGAGTTTCTGGATTTGCTCCGGCAACTTCCATTTTGCGCGGAGCAGCTTCCCGTTTACGCCCCTTGCCACGTTGGCAGAGTTAATGCCTCCCATGAAAGTATCGCCCGCAGCATCAACTTCTCTGGCAATTCCGCGATGTCTATTCGGAGGCTTCCATCCCCCTATACTCGGTCTCCTACCTAGGCTATTGTGACTTCTATTTTGGTGATCTAAGCTCTCTGGTGCAACCCAACTCCTACGCCAGTTAGATTGGACTTCTAACTCTTCGTGTTGATAGGATATCTGGCCAACAATCTTCGTCCAGGCAAAAAAATCATTCTGTGGGAGAAGATGGTTACTGGCCAAGGCTTTTAGGAGAGTCTTATTGAGCGCGCCACGAAGCATTGTAATTTTAGTTTTGTCAGGCCACATATCACCCCTCCCTTTGGTTAACTTATTTGACCAGGTGGGAAAAAATGAATTCCACTGCTAATTATACCCCATCTTTATTTTGCCCAAATCAGTTCTCGCCTGGGTAATTCGGGTAAGATCCCAGTTGCCACGATCCAAGAATTCGATAAAGTCCTCTGGGCTCTCCACTCCGTTTCTTCTTCCGCTCTCAAAATATGCGCCGGCTTCCTCATAAGCTTCTCCCTCCAAACAGTTGTAAATCATGAGAAATAATTACTGGTCATTGTATTTGAACGTATTCCAGTCAAGCCGTAGTGCAGACAGCACAGCTTTTCTCCATGCAGGATATTTTTTTCTGTTGCCGTCGTAATTAGGGAGCTGGTTGGGTTTTAACTTACCATTCTTCCTTGCTGGATCTTTAATTATTTCAACCTCTGAGGTTTGATCGGGGGTCTTGCTTGGCATTGCAGAGATACCCAATTGTCTTTGTAGGCGGAGATTTTCTTCCTTCAGGGAATCATTCTTGGCCATGGCCATTTTGAATTGGGTAGAAATTTTCTAAGCCCTCCGTGATTTCTATATCTTCTTTGATCTAACTTTGTTTGTATAACGTCGTTTATCATTCGCCGTTCGTACTGTTGTTTGTACCGTCGTTCGTACTGTTGTTCGTACTGTCGTTTGTATCGTCGTTCGTATTGTTGTTTGTATTGTCGTTTGTCGTGAGTATTGAGTTTTTTAGATTGAAAATATGTCACAGTCTAAGCATAGGCACTTGAGCAACCTTATGGTCAGAGGTAGTTTATTTTCAATCTATGGTGAACTACAGATTGAAGAGGATAATAACAGTTACTTTATACATGATTATTATCCAGGCCAATGACACAGTTTTCTATCTGTATATCTGTATCCATTCTCGTATCTCTTTTCATATCCCTTTTTGTATACCTTCTCGTATCCCTTCTCGTGCCCTATTCTTGGAGGTTTTTGTTTTGTTTTGTTCATTAACGTGCTAGGTTACATGACTACCGTCGCACTCCTATTGGAGCTTAAGCACGTGTGGGGTTGGGCCGGATCAGGTTAACTACCGTGAATTACAGATAAACCTGTTGTGCTCAGCTAAGGTAGCCCTGGCAGGTAGTGCATGAAGGGTGAGTGTGTCATCAAGGTACCTCAGGCATGGACAACTCACATGACATGTTTTGCGTGTTTGTTCAGGCAAGGCACACTGCATGAGTAAGCATGATGGGCATATGATTCGCTGGTAAGCGAGTCTATGGGGTATAAAAGGGGAGTATTTCCCACTGTAAATTAGAATACATAGCCATAGAGTCATCTACAATTGACTATTGATAAAACATCACATCTTAGCCGTCAAGCGCAAGTGTACATTCCCCATTTCATATACCAAGTAAAACAAAACCTGGTCCCACTTTAATGACCGGACCACCTCAGACTTCACCTATGTGTTGAATCATACCAAGCCTAACCGTCCAGAAACCCGCTGTATACACGCCGTAGCGCAATTTCTTCCTCAGCCTCGGCCACCACGTGCTCGAGCCCTTGACATCCTCATTGACTCCGAAATATAATTGCCGTCCAAGATCTCATTGTTGCTCTAGCCTTGCACCTTCATATTGTACTGTTGGGTTGTTTTCGTCATTGGGGATTTGTGTAATCCCCTCGGTGTATCTTCCCTCTTCTTCCTCCTTTGAACACGTCCCGTTTCTATCATGACTTTCCTCATTAGAGCGTGTGTAGGTAGGTGATTGGACGGGTATGGAGGTAGGTGGCAGGTGTAGGATCGATTGAGACATGCTTTGTTGCAAGTATAAAAGGAATTTAAGAGATTTCGGATGTTTGAATACAACCCCTAGATAGACCTAGGCCCATTTGTGAATTGTATGCTGGTGGTGATGACTTTTTGTTCGACGTTGTTCCGGCTGTGAAATCTCTGCAGACTGATTTTTTGGCCAAAATATTGAGTGCAACTCCTTCAGGTCAAAAATCCATCAATTAAAAATCATCCCACCCTTTTTCGTGACTGAATCTCGGCTCTGGGAGAATATTTCACTCCCAGGTATGTGAAGGACACCACTGACAGGTGTTCAGCCTTCGTCCTCCCTTATTCTTGGAGGTGTTTGCCAAGTTGTAAGACCCTGCTTCCAAGAATAGTCCCTGCCTAGTCTCATGCTAAGCCTGCGTTAGACAGCGCAGGCTACAGGCAATTGCCGGCTTACAAGCCATCATAGCCATCGACAGTATCAGAGCACTATTTGAACTAATTACTACATCTAAGTGAAGGACACAATTCACTTGTTTATGCTAAATAATTGGGAGGCTGGTCAATGTATGAGTTGTCATGAATGTGACTAGTAATAATAGAACCTTATTACGTTCTGTATTAATGCAACTCTTCATTGCCAAGTAGCGCCAATTTCAACAGGTCTCACCAAGAAAGGACCGCCTTTTCAATGGGCAAGGGATCAACAATAATCATTCGAGAAGCTGAAGGCCCTCTTCATCACGGCTCCTGTGTTAGCTTTATGGGATGGTGAACTATTGTGGTTATGAGCTTAGGTTAGTATCACTATGCATGCTGACCTTGTACGAGTATATAGATTGATGAGTTTCAGGTTGTGGTTGAAGGTGTATCTGAGGCTCAGTATACTTGATTGTTCTATACTAATTGTGTGCCGAGCACTTGCTACTTATACTCTTGTGCGGCCGCTAGTTGGCTCCTGACCACATGAGCTTCTTCCTGCAGATATCCCAAACAATACAGGAACTACACAAACAACGTAAATATCTAATCACGTTATGTACATGCAAGTATCCTAGCTGTATAACATGCCCATCACAACATGAACGAAAAACCATTCTGGAGACAGATGCTTCAGGCTGGGAAACGGGGGGGGTGCTTGCTATAACACCAACCAGGTGGGCAATTCAAACCAGTGGCCTATTATTCGAAGAAGTTGTTGCCAGCAGAATGTAACTATGATGTGACAAAACCTGTGACGGTCTTTAAGTGGCGTTTTATTCAAACTGAACTCAGAGCTAGATACAAATGAAAATCTTGAAGTAACGAGCAGAGACATGACTGAAAGCCTCCTATTTATTTATAAGACTATGATCTCGTTCCCTCATTTCATACTTTTCTCAAAATAGATCATGACCTGTCCTCTGACAAATACCAGCATCCCCGTCTATTTTAATTCAGCTTCATTTTTATGTTAGTAATTTTAGTTATTAAAATAATTATGATGCATGTGGCTTAGATGACTCACAACTGGTGTTCGATTCGTCCTGTCTGCAATCTAAATTTGACATTTAAGAATAGATTTGCATGAACTGGGCCAAGGCCTGTACTTGGGTCTAATGAGTCGTGGAGGGGTTCATGACATGTATGATGTTTAATATGGTTGGATGAGTTCAATCCTTATTTGTTAGGCAGCAGCCTAATGATAACCAGGTATGAGCCTGTGACAAAACCAAGCTGGTTGTAGTGTACTTTTAGAAAGATTAAACTATAGGAAGAGAGAAGTACCACAACTACGGGCAATGACTATTTGTACATCCTTTTAGCTCATCCAATACATACTCTGTTGGTGAGAATGACATATTGCTCCGCCACTGCCTGTTGTCATCTTTGCCATCTAGCTGACTCTCTCACTTGGCAATTCTACTTTGCTGTCTCACATTCCTTCCTAGCTTTAATGTAATGTGGCCAAGTGAAACTTAGTCGCTTGATACAAGATAATATGTAACACTCTCCCGAATACGCCCCCAAACTCCGCCTAGGTCTCCACCTAAGCCAAACCACGGTCAAACCGTAACATATGACATCCATGATAAGAAGATCTTAGCAATTATCAGATGTCAGAACATGTGGAGAAGTGAACTGCGAGGACTTAAAGAACCATTTGCCATCTTAACGGATCATAAGAACTTCAAACACTTCATGTCATCAAAGAAGTTGTTGGAACAGCAGGTGCCATGGTCCCAGCTATTATCTCAGTTCAATTTTAGGCTAGACTTCAGGGTATTGTAATTAAGGGAGTAACATGACTGCAGTACAATAAACTGTTCACATTAAAATAATGTGCGCATGTGCCATGGGATATGATTGACCTAAATCATCACTCATTGGTATGACATAGTATTTCCCAATAGATTCCTAATGGTATCTATTGGCGCTAGGATCTCTCACATCCTTCCTTTCTCGGTTAGAAAAGGACAGATGTTGGAACATCCACTAGTGTGCAGAACCCCCTTATTCATGTATATAGAAGAAGGTCCTGTCACGTAGATAAATTAAGCAATTCATACAATAGGAAATTAAAACAATCTCCATATTATTTACACACTTGAGAATACTAGGGAATATCCTCAAGTTCGTCCATTGATCCAAGTCCTAAGAGTATAACTTACGAACTTTACTTCTCTTAAAGCCATAGCTACCTCCTTCCATACCTTCATCCTAACGGTACGTCATTCCAGCTCAGCATAGCCTTTCAATAACACCAGGACCACTCAGTGACAAAATTATCAATCTTGCAAATGCCCATGTCAAACTTGATAAAGAAGCTTGTCGGCTGAAAAACGAGTATGATACTCTGTTGGAAAAGAACCAAGACCTTGCAGACGTAAATGCCAAGCTTAAATTACAGACAAGAGTGCCCAGCCAAAGTAGTCTGCAGCTCCAACAACAAGTTGCTACTCTCCAACAGCAGAATAAAATACTCCAGTGCCAGGTTGAGAATCTCGATAAACAGCAGCCTTTAACAAAAAAACATGAACTTCCTACAAGCCAGTTTTGATCAGCCGAACATCCGGATCCTGACATCTTCTCAGCCAATAATGCTGAGTTGCGAAAGGATTTACCTATCTTTGTTCGTAAAATTAACATGAAGTTCATTGCAAATGCAGATTGGTACCCTACAGAGCAGAGTAAGATGTTGTACTTAGTTTCTCGTCTAAAAGGAAAAGCCTACTCCACAATTGCTTATGGAATTAATAGGAACGGAACAGCCAATTTTGCCTCAACAGACGCAATTATTGTTCTCTTAGAACAAGCATTTGTCAATATCAACGAACAAAATGTTGCTTGCCGTCAAATCCTAACAATAAAACAGGGCCGAAAAGATACGGCTACACATATCTCTGACTGGTTTGAAGTAGCTCAAAAAACGAAACTTTCCGACAATGCTCTAATCAATCATTTGTATGACTCTCTTCATCCGAACATAAAAGCCCAGATTCAGAACCATGTGATGCTCTGCCAGCCATTACCTACAGACCTGACATCATACTTAATTGAAGTTCGGCATATTGATGCAGTCCTTTGCTCTACTAACCCAAATTATACAACAAGTAGTCTATCCTCAGGTAGCCACTCTTCCCTTCCTCTACCTAGCACTGCCTCTCCCCCTCCACCTGGAGACCCAATGGAGCTGAGTGTAGCAAAAATCAGCCCAGTTATTGTTTGGACATCTTCTGACGCTGAAAATCACTGTATTCCCCGGAATGAAGCAGAGAAGAGTGCTAAACAGAACTACTACTTCGAAAATAAACTTTGTAGTTGGTGTTATGATCCAGGTCACTGGGTGCGAGTTTGTGCAGAAGCTCGATGGAACAAAGACAAGAAAAAATCCGCCAACAAGAAGACTATAATTGAGGAGGAAAAAGTATAGTCTCTGGTCAAAGTCGCGATCAGAGACTAGATTGTAGTCAAACATATAGTTTATCAGAGGTCACCAGCATATCTAAGGATGAGAAATTACACAATCACAATTTTAATAACCTACAAATTTTCTCTCTCTTGCCACCAGGTAATGATCATCTACTTCTTTCATGCTCAATTTTTTCTCTGGATAATACCTTTTATACAAAAGCATTCCTCAATTGTGGTGCCACTGATAACTTTTACAACCTCGACTGTGCACAACAACGAAACCTTCCCTTCTCTATCCTTCCCACCCCCCGCCAATTGTATCTTGTAAACAGTGCGCTTGCTGCTCAAATCACACACACCGTATCTTTACAACTCAAAATCCATGGTCACAATGAAATCATAAAATTTTTTCTCACAAACCTGGGTAAGTATGAGCTTATACTAGGCTGTACATGGCTCAAAAAACATAGTCCATCCGTAGATTGGTCTAGAGATACCGTTTCTTTCAACTCGACCTACTGTGAAGAAAATTGCTTTCTACCTGAAACGCACCATACCAAAAAGCCTAAATTAGAAGACTGTGCAGACACATACTTGTCTGAATTTGGTGAAGCTAAGAGCTGACGTCCAAGAAAGTTTGGAGCAGAAATGTTTCATACACTTTCCAAACAAGACAGTGTTCAGGTTTTCTCCCTTTCGCTTTCAGAAATTGACAGTAGACTCCAAGAAATGAGAGACAATATGACTATTTCACCTTCAGAGACACCAGAAACTTCCTCACTAGAATGTACGAATCTATCTCCTTTAGTCCACGATACATATATAGCCAGAAGTTCACTTGATGATATTCAGATAGCTCTACAGACTAAAAATAGACCCGATCCTAAAAAAAAGCTCCCAACATACTACCATCACCACCTTCCTGTTTTCAATCATAAAAACGCCAACTTACTTCCTCCCCATCGTGAATGCGGCCACAAAATTGAGCTTCAACCAGGCATAACACCCCCTCACGGTCCACTCTACAGTATGTCCTTTGAAGAACTTCAGGTGCTACAAAAATACCTCAATGAACAGCTTGAAAGGGGATTTATTTGCGCTAGCAAATCGACAGCTGCGGCGCCGGTACTATTTGCTAAAAAGCCGAGTGGTGGCTTGCGCTTTTGCGTTGATTACCGCGGCTTAAATTCTATCACTATTAAAAATATATATTCACTTCCCTTAGTACAAGAAACTCTTTCTAGACCAAGCACTGCCAAGTTCTACACTAAACTCGACATAATAGCTGCATTCAACCATATTAGAATTGCAGAAGGTCAAGAATGGATGACAGCTTTTAACACTAGATACGGCCTTTTCGAAACACTGGTCATGCCTTTTGGACTATCAAATGCGCCAGCCACTTTTCAAGCCCACATTAACAAAGTCTTACAACCATATCTTGATATCTTTTGCACAGCGTATATTGACAACATCTTGATTTATTTCAATGATCTTCTCGCCCATCGAACTCATGTTAATTTGGTGCTTGATGCCTTGGGAAAAGCTGGCCTTCACTGTGATATAAAAAAATGTGAATTTGAGGTACAACAAGTAACCTATCTTGGGATGATAATTTCCACAACAGGTGTCAAAATGGATCCACAAAAAGTTCAATGCATCTTGGACTGGAAGCAACCTTCTTGTTTAAGAGATGTACAAGGCTTTCTAGGATTCTCGAATTTTTATCGTAGATTTATTAAAAATTTTCCAAAATTGTCAGACCTCTGACCACTCTTACTCAGAAAAATGTCAAATTTATCTGGTCTAATGCCTGCCAAATAGCTTTTGAGACTCTCAAGAGTTCATTCATCTCAGCACCAGTCTTACAACATTTTGACACTTCAAAAGAAAATTTTGTAGAAGCTGACTCTTCTGACTTTGTTTCAGCAGGTGTTCTATCTCAAAAAGACAATCAAGGTGAACTACACCCTGTCGCATTTATGTCAAGAAAATTTGAGGATGCCAAATGCAATTACAAAATCTATGATAAAGAACTTTTAGTCATTTTGCGTTGCTTTGAAGGATGGAGATCCGAGCTCCAGGGCTCTTACTATCCAATTACAGTGTTAGCAGACCATTGTAACCTTGAATATTTTATGACAACAAAGGAGCTCTCCTGCTGTCAAGTTTGATGGAGTGAGTTCTTATTGCAATTTGTTATATTAACTAGGCTATATGGGAGCAGGACGATGGATACTCTTGGGGAAGTTATGCTCACAGTAGGTCTCTATAGTCGCTGTCGCGTGTGTTCTCGTGATATGTAAGACTTGACTCTATATTCTCGTATAAAGGAAACTTAGTTACAAATGAATGGACGGAGGTTGAGACCTCCTTATATCTTGCTCCAGACTTACTGTGTTGTTCACAGCCTAGTGCTAGAACATTCCCTTATGATATCATTTCTCTCCTACGAGAAATGACCAGCTCGTTCTCTCTCAGTCCATCAGTCTCTCGCTGATTCCGTTATCTCTCTTCCATCTAGTTCTAGTTTGGTCCAGTATACTCACACATGCATCACACATGCATTACACACTAAACACCCTACGGTTTAGTTCCACAGTCACGTGCATATGCTATGACGCGACCTAAAGCATGTACCATGGTAAGTTACATGGATAACACAACACAATTTGACTTTGTTATTAAATCTCGACCTGGTAAAGACAACACCAAGCCTGATGCCCTTACACGACGTTCCCTAGACCTCCCAATGGACAACTCCGATCCTCAACTAACTTTCCAGAACCAAATCCTCCTACCAACTAACAGGCTTCATGAATCTGTTATAAAAGATTTAAAAAATACAGGTAACATGCAAGCAATTCAAAATGAAAATGTCACCCATCTTTCTCCAGCTATTCTCATAGACCCTACTCCGGAGCCTCTAGATAAAAAAATAAGCCGCTTATTTGACCAGGGATATAGCGGAAATACGGATAAATGGCTCACTAAAATAGTTGCTGAAATGGAAAAGCCACACAGCACACTGCATTCAAAAGAGGTATCCCTTTCAGAGTGCAAGTTACGAGATAGACGCCTTTATTTTCGCAATAAACTTTACGTTCCAGATACCAAGCTGAGACTTCTGCTTATACAAAAGGCTCATGATAGCTGTGAGAAGGGTCATCTAGGAAAGACTGGTTTGTACCAGGCAGTCTCGGACTACTATTGGTGGCCCCGACTTTCTCAGCATACAGACCAGTTTGTTAAAAATTGTCATAATTGCATTAGAAACAAAGTCTCTCGACTCAGATATCAGGGTACTTTAAAGCCCCTTCCACTCCCAATCCAACGCTGGCGCAATATTTCAGTCAATTTTGTTGGCCCTTTCGTAGAATTCAATAATTTCAATTATATTATGGTTGTCATAGATTGCCTAACTAAAGAATGCCACTACTCTCCATGTCACACAAAGATGATGGCTAAAGAATTGGCAAAAATATTCATCCGCAATATCTGGTGGCTTCATGGGCTTTGTCACTCTATAATTTCCGATAGAGGACCTCTCTTTGTCCCGGAATTTTGGAAAGCTGTCTGTCACTGCTTACAGATTAAAGTTTCGCTCTTGACAGCTTACCATCCTGAGACAGATGGTCAGACAGAGAATGCAAACGCTTTTATGGAACAATACCTCCGTCAGTACATTGACTACTCACAAGAAGATGTCTATGAATGGCTCCCAATGGCTGAATTCTCCGCTAATAACTCAGTCAACGCTTCCACAAAAATTACACCTTTTTTTGCTAATAAAGGATTTCACCCACACATGAGTTTTGGACCCCCAAGATCAGTTGAACGAGTCTCGTCGAAGAATCTCTGCCAGAAGATCACTGCTGGAAACGACTTTGCCTCCAAGATGGCCGAAGTCCTTGATGTATTATGCACCAACTTAAATTACGCTAAAGATAAACAGGAGTATGCTGCAAACAGGAATAGGTCGCCGGCACCAGCACATTGTGTCAGAGATGAGGTATTTCTCGACTCACAAAACATATACACATCTCGACCAATTAAGAAGTTGTATTGCAAATTTATCAGGCCATTCAAAGTTACAAAACAAATAAACTCTCACGCATATCAATTAAACCTACCTATTGAATACCA